CATTCGCTCCCGCTGTCTTCCGCCACCCTTCCGACGGCCTTCCGCTGTCTTCGCCTCGTTTTACTTCCGTCGGCTTCCGCGAGGGAGCGATGTGACGAACATTCAAGGATCTTTCATTGGGCCGATGTATGTGTATGTTTGGGTTGTTGTTGATGATGTCGACGTTGCTGATGATGATGATGATGATGATGATGATGATGATGATGATGATGATGATGATGATGATGATGATGATGATGTTGATGATGATGACGATGATGATGATGATCTCGATGACGATGATTATGCGGGTGGCGATGGTTGGTCATGACGAGGGGGCTGGTGCTGTTGATGTTGACGATATTGCTGAAGATACTGGTGATGGCGGTGGTGGTGATTATGAGGATGATGACGCTGATGCTTTTGAGGAAAGGAGGAACAGGAGGAGGAAGAGGAGGAGGAGGAGGAGGAGGAGGAGGAGGAGGAGGAGGCGCAGGCGGAGGATAAGGTGGTGGAGGAATATGATGAAGAGTGGAGTTGGAGGGATAGAGGAGGAGGAGGGAGGAGGAGGGATGAGGAGGGAGGAGGGAGAGGAGGAAGAGAAGGGGGAGTATAAAGAGGAGGATCGGAAGGTCTTGGAATGGGGACCAGGAGCAGGAGGAGGAGGAGGAGGAGGAGATACACACTGACGACGATGAAGGAGTAGAGGGGGAGGTGTGGATTGTGGGGAGGCCCCCGTGATCGACGTCATGAAGGCGGGGTACATGAAGGTCTGCGGCAAGGGCCAGTTGCCCGAGCAGCCCCTGATCGTGAAGGCGCGCTACTTCACGAAGGAGGCCGAGGTCAAGATCAAGGACCTCGTCGTCGCCGTCGCACTCCCTTCCTCCGTCCCCTCACCATCTGCCTCCCCCTCCCTCCAGTCTTGATTTGTCATAGCCTCGCAGTCGCAGAGCAGATCCGAATCCTCCAGGAGGCCATGGCCCTCCCCACGTGGTCTCAACTCGACCCGGACGACTGTCCGCGGAGGCGGTTCGTTCGCGCGTTCCTTCCATCTGCCCCCCCCCACCCCCTTGACTCCTCTCTACCTTCCCCCCTCCTCTTTCGGGTTGACCCAAAAGCGGGTCCAGCGACAAGGGGGTGGTGTAATAGATTTGGTGCACTAGATTTGTGGAATTGCAATGCACTTGGGGCGTGCAACACATTCCGGGGCGCAAATCTACTGCTGGATTTTCGCGTGCAATACATTACTTGCAATACAATGCAATACAATTCTCCGGCGCAATACATTAGCAATACGATTGCCCCAAATCTGTTGCACCACCCCCTTTCAGCTGGACCCCCTTTTGGGTAACCCAAACTCTTTCTCCTCCTGATCCTGTGGAGGCTTCCCTGTCTCCCCCACAGGTTCAGCGTCGCCACTCGATGCTGCCCTGGGAGGCTCGCCTGACGAGCCTGGTCAGGGCCAAAGCCTTGTTGGAGGCTTCCTCGTCTCCTCCACATGTTCTGCGTTGCCACTCGATCCTTCCCGTGGGCGGCTCGAGGTTGGGACAATGTTACGTCGACGCCGACAGCACAGAGAACAATTAGCCCGACACCGCGGACGATGCTGTACCATGGAGAGTACATTCTGGCCAGATTGGACCTCTCCTATGCCGGCGCCAAAGCTACAATCGTGCCAAGACTCAATTTTTCAAGCCATGAGATATACAGGCGTGGCAGGCTTTTGACTTTGACCGCCTCAGATGTGGCAGTCTGAGGCTGGCAGCGTCAGAGTGACAGACGCCCTCAAACAGAGGCGGGCCAACGCCGACATCGGGGGCCATATATCTACCACGCCCATCTCAGCAGAGAGCCGAACACCACGATCCAGCCCGATCTCGTCCGGCTGCTGCACATGCCCAGCCGTCAAGACGCGGAGCAGCGAGAACGAGTGCACCTGGACGAGGAAGCCCGACAGGGGAGCGCCCTCGCTGACGCCCTGGCCTTTCCGCCAGCTCCCGAGCACGATGCCTCCCATCCACAGAGTGAGTGAGCGCTGCGGCGGGGTGCCGCTCCGCAGCTTCCTTGGCGGGACGACGGCTGGCGCGGGCTCCCCGGGAGGCCTGCGGCAGCGACCCCCTCGGCACCACCGCGGAGCGGGGTGCGGCGGCAGAAGCGGGTGAGCACGCGCGTGCAGACAGAGGGCCGGGCCTCGCCTGTGCTGCCCCCCCTCCGCTCCCCCCTTAGCCTCTGGAGGTGGGCGGCAGCGCAGTGCCTGTCAGGAGCAGGTGGGCAGGCGAGCTGGAGCTTCGGGTGTCAGGCGTTGGCCCAGGCGGCGTAGCACTCGCAAGCCCAAGGCGAGGTCTCGGGGGGGCTGGGCTGGTAGCCAGGTCGGTGCACGCTCGTCCCACCCCTCCAGCACCATGAGCTGCGACGACGTTGGCCCAACCTGGTGGTGCTCGTCGTGTGGCCGACGCGCAAGGGCGTCTGTCGGGGGGTGTACTAAGGGGCCTCTTCGAGGAAGGCTAACCTGTCAACAACAAAATGCTAGTGGGTGAGTTCCTGCATCTCCATCGGTAAGCCAACGCCCCACCAGAGGCTCCAGGAAACCAGGAGATGACGCCACGCGCTCCCCCCGCCCCCTGGCGCAACGCGCCATCGCCGTTGCCGAGTACTCAGGGTTCCCCCCGATTCTTTCCTCTACCGCGCCATTCTCTCACGTGCCCCCTCTACCTCCTCCTCCTCCTCCTCTTCCTCCTCCTCGCCGGCAGGGTGTGTGAGAGGGGGTGGGCCATTTTAGGAAGCGGCGGCGCTTCTCAAGAGCCCCCCGGCTTTGTCAGAAGCCCACCGTGCTTTCGGAGACGAGTCCGACAATTTTTCTTCTGAATATTAGAGGCCTTTTGAGCCTCTTGAGGAGGCCCGCCACCTCTGCCTTCCCCCCTGACCGCGCCGCCGATATCTCTCCCTCCGTCTCTCTTGCTGCCCCCCTTCGTCCTCCCTCCAGCTCCTCCTCCTCCTCCTCCTCCTCCGTCTCCTCCGTCTCCTCCTCCTCCTCCTCCTCCTCCTCCTCCTCCTCCTCCTCCTCCTCCTCCTCCTCCCCCCTCCCTTCCTCCTCCTCCTCCTCCTCCCTCCTCCTCCTCCTCCTCCTCCTCCTCCTCTCCCTCCTCCTCCTCCTCCTCCTCCTCCCCCCCTCCTCCCCCTCCTCCTCCTCCTCCTCCTCCTCCTCCTCCTCCTCCTCCTCCTCCTTATCCGCCTCCTACTACTCTTCCTCCTCCTCTATTGTTCCTAGTTTTCTGGGACTGTCCCGTCCCTCTGCATTTCCAGTGGTGCTTGAGGGGTTCTGTGGGGGCGACGCGCCCAATCGCCTCCCAGATTAACCAGAGCAGGGGCTCCAGCTTCAGCCGTTTACTGCGCGTTCATGCTCATGTCTTCTGTTCGTAATCCGAGGCCCTGGAGTCAGTGCGCGCATTGCAAGGAGCACTGGTGCTCTGACGTCCTCGCCCAGACGGGAAATCGTTGTGCACGCTGCTTGCACCCGGTCACGGTCTTCTGACCCAGGTCTAAAACCCCTGACCGCCGCATTCGTTTCGTCGCCGGCAAGGCACAGTCAGGCATCCATCGGACGCTCCAGGGTGGCCGAAGCAGTGGTCGGACCAACGAAGTCGTGGAACGTTTCCATTAGGCAATCATGTCCACGAGAGACGCTGAACATCGCCAGATCTTGTCCCAGCAAAAAGATCGCCTCGCCACCCATGCGCACGAGCTAGCCTCAGCCTCCGTCGTGGACAGGCTCAGGGGAGCCGCGGACAACAACTGTTCATACTTGCTACATCAGGTAGTCCGCCTTCGGCGTCAGCTGGAAACTGCAAGTCGCAGAACGTGGCGCAGCTCTGGAGTTGGCCCAGGCCGATATGGAGAAGCGTGCGGCAGCCGCTGCTTGAGTCAAGGCTGAAAGGTTTCAAGGTGATCCAGCGGCAGCGCCAGCGGGCCAAGCATCCGAAGCTTCCGGGATTGTCTTCAGCGATGACACGTACGTGAATGTCGAGCAGTGGGGCTGCGAGGGAAGCGACGAGCAGCCCAGCCGGGTTTAGAAACGGCAGCCCGACGTTTGCTATGCCACGGTCGAGGCGCACGACTCCGAGCGGGCTGCTCGCATGCAGAAATGCAGGATAACGAAGGGCGTGGTGGCCCAGCGCATGACCGCCAGGTAGCGAAAGGGGGCGGGGGGGCAGCCTCAGGAAGCCTCCAAGGGCAAGGACGACAAGGCATCGGCCTCAGCTGCCTCGGCCAACGAGGAGGCGCGTGGCAGCCCCATTGACGAGGGGCTCTCGAACGGGAGGCGGAGAAGCTCTCGCAGGCGCGCTTCCAGGCGGCGGCTGCGATGGAGAAGGCGGGCGGCAGGGGCGTGCCAGGCGGGCGTGGAGGCGGCGGCGGCGTGGGCTCACCTGCTGCTGGCACTGGGCCGGCCAGCTTTACGCCTGCGCTTTGGCTATCTGTCGAAGCTACTTCGTCGGCGCCACCATCGATCGCGACGACGTCGGCAGGGGGGGCCTGTGCGACAAGTGATGGATCGGGTTTTCTTTCGGTCCGAGCCACCAGTGGATTTCCTGGGCCACCAGCTACTTCAGCTTCAGCGTCGAACACCCATTGCGCAGCTACAACGAGCGGTCCGACATTTGCGTGCTTCTCGAATATCGCGCTCGGGGAATAGGGCAACGAGGCATGTCGGGGCCCGCGACGGCGTTTTCTATTCTGCGAGACGCGCGTTTCGCAGGGGTCCATGCTCCAGTGGTGGAAGCAGGCTCGCGGGTCAGGCCTCGGGCTTTTTAGCGGCGCTGCTCGGCCAAAAGCACAGCGGGGTAGTGATTAGGGCCCATCATCGAATGACTGGGCGTTTTATATCTGACGGCCAAGCGCAGGCCGGCGCCGATCCCTGATGCTGCCCCGTGAGGGGGCGGCTCGAGAGCGTAGCGAGGCAATGCGTTCGACTGTATTTTTCTGGTCTTGCTCGAGCGAGCAGTTCTGTTCTTTTCGGTGGTTGCCGTCGTATTCGATGGTCACTCGCCGATGATACTTCGCGATCAGAACGTACCCAGATTCAGCGTGCTCGCCGCCCTTCTCCGCGCCCTGCAACATCCCTCGGTCTTTGTTGCGGTCTGGATTTTCAGACCTCGCGCGGGCAAAGCGGGTTTCCTCCATCAGGCGGGGGGCCGACGCGCATTTTGCGAGGCCGATGTCGCTTACATTTTGCGAGGCAGATGATAAAGCAATTCGGCCGATGGCCGAATTGCTTTATCATCTGCGCTGCCGCGCGCGCGTGCGCGCGCGGTGCGCGCGGTTTTCGCGCTGTCTTCGATGCCCCCTGGCCGCCGTGCATTGGGCCATCGGCGGAGGGCGCGTTGGCCGTCGGCGAGCGCATCGCTGGGGCCCTTGCGTCGGCGCCCAGGTTCGCCGATTGAGGGCGCCGAATTTAGCGTCGACAATGCCCAGCGTGAGTCTGCCAGGGAGGCCGCTCTGGCAAGAAGGAATGCTCGCATGCGAGAGCGGTTCGGGGAGCATGCGCGGCGGTCGGGGCCAGGGCGTCCGAAGACGAGGGCGCGGTGCCAGAGGGGTGCGGGCCCTTGGGCGCGAGCCGACCAGCGACCCCGAGGGCGTCGACGAGGCATTCGATCCGCGGCCCCACGAGCCCGATTCCAGTTGCTTCACCCCCTTCGCCCAGCCTGCGTCGGGCGCTATCTCTCCCGCCTCCGAGCCCGGGAGTTCGGCGCGAGGTAGTTCGGGCCCGAGCCCCCCCCTCGAGCGAAGCGCCCGCTCAGCAGGATCCTGGCGCCCCGTGCTCAGTGCAGTTTCCTGAGGAATCTGGGCACGCGGCAATGAAAAGCGTCGGCTTCTTTCCGGGCTCGTCCGACCCTCCCGCGCCTGCTGTTATCTCTTCCGTTGTTTCGTCGGCCTGGGGACTTTGCCCGAGCCGCTTCGCGCTTCTGTTCGCTGCGCTGTAGCCGGGTCAGGTCGGCCGAGCTGGCCTTTCGCGCGCGCCGTCGGCGGGGCTGTCCAAGCGTCGGTCGAACGCAGGCAGTCGCTTTTCGCGCGCGCGAGGTCCTGCAGCGCAAGCCTCAGAGGTTGGCTCTTTCGCGAGATCGAGCGGCAGGCTGGGCGAGGGCCGCCGCGGCCGCTGACAAATTCACGCAGGCTGCGCCAACTGCGAAGCGGTGTCGAGCAATGACATTTCGCGGCGCGCCAGCGCCCAGTGCCCGCGGCAGGTGCCAGGGTGGAGTCACGGAGTCGCGGGGGGGCCAGTCAGTGCGAGTGGAGTCGCAGGAGGGCCCGGGTGCTGAGCCTCAAGGGCGCCGCAGGCGTCGCGCTGGAGACGATGGCGGATTTCGCCGTCGAGATGGCTTGGCGCAGTCGGCGCGGCCACGCGTCGTGCTCTTGCAAAATGTCGCTAGTAGCTTGAGCCAGCGCCGGCGGCCTCGGTGCCCGCCTTTGGCGCCGACGCGCGGGAAATCAGCGGGCGCGCGCTGGCCCGCCTGCGTGGCATCGGCATCTCGGGCGCGAAGAGTAGCAAGCTGGGGGGCTTGCGCAGCCCGCTCGTCGCCGAGTGTCAGCAGTTGGGGGATTTGATTGGTGGGGATCGCGAACGCGCGCGGCATGGGTCTCCCGCGCTCATCGAAGCGCCTCGTGCCCGATGCAGCCGCGGGCGGCGACGGTGTGAGCGGCGCAGGCTGCGACGGGCCCCCCGGCGGTGCTTTGCCGCGGCTGGCTCGTCTTCCCGCGCTCCGCGAGGAGCGCCTAAGTTGATCGCGCCAAGCGCCCCTCGCCCTGGGCGCCCTTCTCCCCGGGAAAGCCCACTGGGCAAGGTGATTGGGCTCGTGTCGCGCCCGGGCCGTCTGGCCCAGGACGTGAGGGGGGCAGGTCAGGACATGGGCGGATCGATGCGAGGCGCATGGGGGGGGGGGGGGCGCGGTGATTAAATTGCAGCGGCGGCGCAGCCGCGCGAGAAGTTTTCGCCCCGGTAATTGGCGAGACATCAGCAGCGCGAGTGGGAGCTCCATCGGCAGTGGCGCGTCTGAAATTGCCAGCTTCTGCGACGCGGCGAGTTGGCATCGACCGGGGGGAGCTGCCCTGAGACTTGGTTTGCCGGCTGAAGTTGCTTACCAAATCTTTTATTAATCGTTCCCCGGGTCCGATTTTTGAAGCCGCCTTTCCTGTATTTGGGGGGGCCCGTTTCATTGGGGCGTTCTCTTTGGATTGGAGCTCAGGGGGCCCGGTTCATCGAGGCGCCCCGTCGCAGAGGGGGCCCGGATTATGAGGTCGCATTTGGTGGGGGGTCCGGTTTTTAGTGGGGGGTTGAGTAATGAGGGATTCGGGGTTGCTTCAGCTGCGTCCAGCTCGTGGACGCGCCGAGGTGCCCCCTGCCGTCGATGCGCGGCGCCTGGGTGCATTCGGCCAGGGCGGGCCTCGGGGCGCCCTTCGGCCTGGCGCGCCCCATCGCCCTAGGCTTGCGATCAGGCGCGCGCTTCGGGAAGTTGGCCGCCTGTCTTGCGATGAAGACAAGAGTGCTCGTTCATGTCAACATTCGGGGATCTCCTAACATGGGCCAATCCGACCCGGGTCAGCAGGGGACCAACAAATTGCAATGCGGGAAAAACAATATACAACGCAGGGCTTCGCAAACCCGGGTCAGCCAATGTGCGCGGCCGCCTCGCGGCCGCGAGCGGCTCGCTCATCTGGGTCAGCCAGATGGGGGTCTTCGCGGGATCTTGCAGGGGCCACCGCCCTGGCTGACCCTCGTTTGCATTGGCCCCCGTCTCTCAAGCTCCGAAATGTGTCGCATCGCTTCTTGGTGGGCGACCTTGGCCGGGCGCGTCGAGCACCGAGACGAGCTATTGTGAAGCAGCTGAATGTCGTGATTCTGGCGGGGGGGATGCCCCTGCTGGTCGATGCGGGCTGCCGGGTTTTCCATGCCGCGCAGGAGCTTTGTTGCGTGTTCGCGAGCGCAGGGCGCGAGAACGTTGGTTTGATAGCTTCAAGAGGGTTTCAAGATCATGTCTGCCACGCACGCAGATATCTTGGTAGGGGGCCTGTCAGGGGGCAGACGTCGCGGGCGAGCCGCGCCGCGCTGACTGCTTGCGGTCTTTTGTTGGGTCTTGGGGCATTTGGGCGAACTGTGATTCTAACGCGACGCGCGACGACGAACCGAAGCGACCTTACGCGTATCACTTTGGAGACCAAGCTGGCTTGCCAGATTTGGAGGACCGCGATGACGAGGTGGCATGCCTGTCGGATCTTGGTGAGGGGCGGTCGATGGTCGCGAGCGCCTCAGCGATGTGAAGCGAAGGGCGGGCCGCGCACTCTCGGGAAGGCAGCGCGTCGAACGCCCGCCAGCGGATCGAGATAGCCGAGGCTGTCCAGCAAGCTTTGTCCAGCCTGGGCAAGATGGAGCACGTGAGAAGCGCCGCTTGGTCATGTCAACAACATCTGCGTACACAAGGGACCTTTCCAGTCCACATATGCGCGCTCCTCCTCTTTTTGTACCGTCTGTTCTCTCTCACTCTTTCTCTCTCTCTCTCTCCCTCTCTCTCTCTCTCTCCTCCTGTACTGGTTTGCGTTCAGCGCGCTAGTCTGATTCTGCGCGTGCCGTGGTTCCATGCGCAGTGCAAAAGAAACGCTGTTCAAGGTTCCACGGGTCTACATCTTTAGCTACCAGCCGCGTTTGGCTAGAATCTGACCGCCCCGACTTAATTAGCGCGGGCGGCATTCTTGAGAGACCCCCGCCCTGGATTCAGTACTCAGGGTGCACATCTCGGGTGGGTGGGTGCTCATGCGTCTAATTTTCCCATGTGTTTTATGTGTTTTTGCGATTCATGCGGACGTCTTGTTGCCCAACAGAGTAGCTTCAGATAGTCGTGTCTGTTATTTGTATATCATTAGCCGTGGCATTGGGCCGGATGTTCGGAACAAGGCCGAACTAGCCAAGAGAGGTCACAACAGGAATCAGCAATGTAGTTCGCTGTTTCGACCGTTGCCGACATTTCCGCCACACCCGTAACTCCGTCATCCCCCCTCGTCCCCCTTCTATAATTTTCCCCTCATCTCCTTCTTTTCCCCCCTCGTTTAAGGATTCATCTCGTGGGATGATGAATTCAGGATCGTTGCTGGTATTTCCGTGGTCGGAAACGGGCCCAATCTGGCATAATCCCGAGCAGTGCAGCCAGATCCCGCTCGAGTCGGCGCGGTCCTACCTCATCCTGTGCCCAACCTGGGCGCTCATCCGGCTCAGTGGTGCCATTCATCATCGGGCCGTATCAGGCTTCCATCCTTTTGGCGAAAACCTTCCGGAAATTGTTTCCCAAGTTCCTCTGTTCGGCACGAACGAAGTGGGTACGGAAAGATTGGGGATGATGCGCAACAGCAGTTCGTGTTCATTTGAACAGGACTCGCTGTCCACGCCTCCGCGGCCTGTGTCCATTCGAGACAGAAGGCCGCGCGCCCAAGAGCGGCCGCTGTTGCTTTGGGACAACATTTGTTGTTGGGCATTGTACCCATCATTTCGTACCCGTTTCGGGCGTCCAAGTATCTCCCAAGACACCTGCCGACGCGACGCCAACCGACACCGGCGCTGGAACCAAATCCAGCAGGGAAGTTCGCTAATGCCGCCTGGCCTCTGCTCTCCCCAGCACGTGCACGCACAGAGAGGTTGAGAGGTTACTACCGCTACGCCCCGGCCCACACGGGGCAAGGACCACGTCCCGATGAGTGCGTCGGGGGCGGCAAACAGGGGGTTAATGACTAGGGGGAATGGATATCATGGCGGGGGCCATGATATTTCCGCAGATTTCATGGCGCCTCTTCCTATTTCATTACGTCCCTGGTCCCCCCGCTGGGCCGCGCACGTGCCGCCGGTCATGATTTGCACCCACCCCTCTTGGACACCCCCCTCTTGGCCGCTCCCGAGAGTGCGAGTGTGAGTGCGAATGCGAATGGGACTGCGAATGCCCCTTTCCCCCAGGAGGCCGGCGGAGTCTGCGTCCTCGTGGCCTGAGCGCGCCCGCCGGCCCCGCGTCGGGGGCCCGCCGCGGACGAGGGCGGGGGCCTTCGAGGGTCCAGCGTGGCAGCTCGACGCCGCCGCCGCCGGCTGCTGGTCGATGTCGCCGGCAGCGGCTGTCGTCGGCGTCGGCGTCGCCGTCGCAGCTGATCTCGTCGTCGCCGTCGCCGGCTCCTCGACGCTGTCGGTGTCGCTGCGGCCGCCGCTGGCTTCTCGTCGTCGCCGTCGCCGCCGGCGTCGGCCGACGTCGCCGTCGAGGGCGAGGGATGGGGGAGGAGTGGGGAGATGAACCTTGTGAGGGATTTGACGAGGAGGAGGAGGAGGAGGAGGAACAGGCGGACATGGGGTGCTGATCAGGGGGAGGGCTGGGGGAGGAGGAGTAAGGAGGTAGGGGGGAGAGGAGGAGGAGGAGGAAAAGGAGGTGGAGGAGGACTACTGTGAACCCAAGACTTATCAACGATGTTGCAATAAACCCTCCCCCCAAGCTCCTTGTTCATTGGCTCCTAGAAGGTTCATTGTTTCTGAGGGAAATGCCCCGTTGGCAGACAACCGTTCAAAAAACTGGAGCCGTGCCAGAACACCATTCTTGGGACGTTCAACCTTACTGCTGCGTCTGGACGATCTTGAATCGTGCCAGAGTATGTTTCCTGGGTCTTCAACGCCGCGAATCAACGTAGCTGTGGCGCCCTGACAATCTTACGTCGTTCCAAAGCAACAGTTCTGGTACGTTAGCCATGATAATCCGTGACACGCTTGCGTTTTTATCAATCATGTGTTCGAGGCGCTACGGCAGAAACCACATCTTGAAAAGGAACTGCCTTCCATTCGTGAAGCTTCTTTCAACTTTTTCCCAATAAGCCTGTGGTGTTGGGTCATCGTGTTGAAGAGAGCGCCAAGCGTTCCTCCTCTCTTCCTTCGCCCCCTCCTCCCCTCTCCCATCATCATCACCATCAGCATCATCATCACCATCCTCATCATCCTCACCATCACCATCATCATCATCGTCATCATCACCAGCATCATCATCATCATCATCATCATCATCATCATCATCATCACCATCAGCATCACCATCATCATGATCAATCATTATCATCATTACCATCATCATCACCACCACACCACCACCATCATCATCATCATCATCATCATCATCAGCATCATCAGCATCAGCATCAGCATCAGCATCATCGTCATCGTCATCGTCATCGTCATCGTCATCATCGTCATCGCCACCCTTCCCACACCCAGTACAGCGTTCTGTGGCCCCATAGGGAGCTCCACCTACGGTCCCAGTGGCGCAGCCCGCATGCGTCTCTCCCATCCAGTGCAGCGTTTCGTTGCCCCACAGGGAGCTCCACCTACGGTCCCAGTGGCGCAGCCCACATGCGTTTCCCACACTCAGCACAGCGTTTCGTGGCCCCATATGGAGCTCCACCGAAGATCCCAGTGGCGCAGCCCGCATGCGTTTCCTCAACCCAGTACAGCGTTCCGTGGCCCCATCGGGAGCCCTACCGAAGGTTCCAGAGGCGCAGCCCGGATGCGTCTCCCCCACCCACAGCCCGCATGCGTCTCTCCCGCCCAGTACAGCGCTTCGTGGCCTCAGAGGGCGCTCCACCGAAGGTCCCAATTGCGCATCCCGCATGCGTTTCTCCAAGCCAGTAGAACGTTTCGTAGCCTGACAAAGCTCCACCGAAGGTCCCAGTGTCGCAGCCCGCGTGCGTCTCCCCCACCCAGTACAGCGCTTCGTGGCCCCATGGGGAGCTCCACCTACGGTCCCAGTGGCGCAGCCCGCATGCGTTTCCCCCACTCAGCACAGCGTTCCGTGGCCCCATAGGGAGCTCCACCGAAGGTCCCAGTGGCGCAGCCCGCATGCGTCTCCCCCTCCGGCCCGCCCGCGCCGCCCCTAAGGGGCCTGCCGGCCCGCCGGCCAGCGGAATCGCGCGTCTGCGTCTGCGTCTGCGTCTGCGCCACCCAGTACAATGTTTCGTTGCCCGACAAGGAGCTCCACCTACGTCCCAGTGGCGCAGCCCACATGCGCCTCCCCCACCCAGTACAGCGTTTCGTGGCCCCATATGGAGCTCCACCGAAGGGTCCAGGTGGCGCAGCCCGCATGCGTCTCCCCCACCCAGTACAGCGCTTCGAGTCCCCACAGGGAGCCCTACCGAAGGTCCCAGTGGCGCAGCCCACATGCGTCTCCCACATCCAACACAGCGTTTCGTGGCCCCATATGGAGCTCCACCTGCGGTCCCAATGGCGCATCCCGCATGCGTCTCCCCACCCAGTACAGCGTTCCGTGCAGTGCGGGCCCTTTAGGGAGGGGGCTCCTGCCTAAGACTTCCTCGCGGTTCACCCACAGACGAGGCTCCCGCCTGAGACATTCCCATTGTCATGCCAGGGGGGGAGGAGTGAGTGAATGATGATGGTGAGTGAGTGAGCGAGTGAGTGAGTGACGATGATAATTTTGGCGGCGATGGGACGTGAGTGTGTGAGTATG